CAGGCAGGACAACCCGCTTGCAGACACCATTTCCTTCATTACTCTCATCCTTCACAGAGGTTTTAAAGGACAGCTTTGATATCTGGGGGGTGGGGGGGTGGGGGGCAAACAGTAACTTACAGCCGTGTCCTCAAGTGGTCAAACCAGGGCTCCACAGCACAGGCATGGCAGGAGGCCCCAGTCTGGCGGCTTTACTTCTTCCCGAGGACGGGGCTCAGGGGTGCTGCACGCTACCAGCGTCTTCAGGAGAGCGTTATCACTCCCCAGCAAGACTAACAATGGAAAATGCTGCCAAATGATCCGACTCGCTCCCCCCAGGGCTGAGACAAACAGCTTCCAGGCGATCAGCTGAGCACAGTGACATGCCTTACACACACAGATGAACCACTTCTCCTCCCGAAGGCATTTTAAGTTTCCAGTCTTACATTTGGTTGGCCGAATAAATGCCAAAGTGTGCACAAGTTACATTATAATGGACATCAAACCTTTGGGGGAACTTTGAAGTGAAGGCTAAGTAAGAATCTCTAGTGACACATGAAACGAGCTGTCCTTCGAAAAGTTCAAAATAATGGCTGGCAGAATCAGAAAAGTTTATGTAAACACAACACAAATATGGGATTACCTTTGGAGAAGATTCATACGGAAACACTGGCTTTTCATGAACTGAAAAAGCCTGCAGATGTTTAGGCATGTTCAATACGAACTTCCTGTGGTTTAAAACAAAACCTTGTGCAAATAAAACCTATAAATAGTCTTCAGCAGATTTTACAGTGATGCTCTTAGGTATGAAAAGAACACACACAACTTTAAAACAAAAAGTAACAGACATAAGTTTGACAAATGATTGCACCATAAAACAGTGTTTTATATACAGTTTACAAGATATGATTTTCTGCTATAAATTAATACTGTACTATATAGTACTTAGTGACTTTATTAAAAGCAACTGTTGACAGCTGTCTCTTCAATCACTGGGTGTTTTTTTGTTTAGGGTCTTTTTTTTTTAAATGCAGGTGGCTGCATCTTTTTCTGGACTTAAAATGCTCAAATAATTAATCAAACAATCTATGCAAACCCCTGCTATCATTTATTAATTCATAGCAATAGTACTGGCAGATCAGAGGAATTTCCAGCCAGCTAGCCACAGTCTGGGTATGGTCCGAGATTAAGAGTTTATATTTTTTTATTAAATGGCAATCCATTTAATTTAGGCCACTGTATACATGATATTACTGTAACTAAGTAAGCTGGTGGGGGAAGAAATCCTAGCAGCTGAGAAACTCTTCCCCCCGAACCATGTTCCAGTTAAAAAAAATATCTCCTAAAACTATTTACATGAGTGACATTTCTGGGGGAAAAAAAAAAAAAGAAAAAAAGAGCTTGCTTTTTTCCTAACGTAGTTTCTGATCTAAGTTTTAGTAACTCCTTCAGTTTAGGATACAGCAGTGGTAACACCAGAACTTGAGATGCACGTCCAGCAGCTGCAGCCTGCATTCTGTCTCTGCTACCATCACTGGGGACCTCAGACTACCCATGCAGATGAAGGCTGAAATGAGAAACCACACTGGATTTAAGTTCTTACTTCCAAGTAGGTACCCTGGCTCTATTTACAGATCACAATACTTCAGAAAAATATGAGGATCTCTGAACACTTGTACCTGTGAGTGAGCTGACAGGGAAAAAAGTCACTTATAGACCATGCCAGTGACAAGTTTGTTCAAAAATGTCAACAGAAAAAAATACTTAATTCAGCAAATAACCTTTTTGCATTAAAATGCCTTGGGAGGGGGAGGGGCAGGGGGGAAGGAGGAGGAGGAGAGGGAGGAGTGGGATAGGGTTTGAATGGTACACAGTTTAGAAGAATTGTGCAAACTTTTATTTTCAAACACTTAAGCTTATTGGATAAGGGATTGTTTTGGAAAATGCTGATTATATTTTAACAACTACCTCCTTCTAAAATACACTTTCACTAACATTTTATAAAAATGTCTATTCAGTACTGCTCAATGAAACAGTGCTTAAAACAAGATTTTTTTGTTTTCATAATGAATCTCAGGTGAACCACATACTAACTGGAAAATAAATACTGACAATGCAGGCAGCTTTCCTGGGACACTAAAACGGTACTTCCTGCAAGTTCAGATTGAGTAGTCAATTAAAATGTCCATGGATTCAAAGGTTTATCCTTGTGTTGAAAAATAAAACTACCTTTACTGAGGAATATTTACTCCAAATTTGGGTGGCCCTCAAACCCACATTTAAGATAACTTCAGTAAGCAAGGCATATATTATTTAAACAATTATATTGCTCTTTTTGTTTTTTAAAGATGAATTAATACTGAAATGAAAAGAAGTTCATCTGTCTTTGCAGTGGCATAGTGTCCGCATTACTTTAAACGCTGCATTTTACACGTGCTAGAGAAAAGTCACCTACAGCAGACGTCGTGTGCATGAGCATGTATGACTGCTAGTGTAACAACGCAGTAGAAGAAGAGACTTTCTGTGCACAGTTGCTAATAATTTAAATAGTATCAGTTTCCCAAAATTAGGATTTTAACTTTAACGTATGACATGATCTCACCTTCTACCCTCATATACAAATAAATTACCATAAAAAGAATTTTAGCTTAACTTAAAATTGCACCTAGAAAGGCATGGGATCATTTGTACCTATTAGAAAAACTGTTAAAATCAAGGGCTGCTACAAAGAATGAGGTAAACTGAAGACTCTCAGCTATGCGGCCTTCAGAGGAATGGCTTTTTTCTACTGAGTCCTGGTTTTGCACACCACAGTGTTTTGCTAGCAAAGCGTTCGGAGTTCTTTTCCAGGAACCATTTGTGTGTCTATACATATATATACATATATGTGTATACACACACACACACACACTGTATACTGCATCAGCAAAATATATATATATTTATTTAAATATAAGGAAGAAATCGCCCTCTAAAATGTTCCTTAGCGTTTTTCTAGAGGTTATGGGGGAGGAGGGGATGTATGTCTTCTTGTTGTTAGGTACATTTAAAGAACATGTTTTGATCTATTGGCTTCTTGGTGCAGTAATGCAAGATTGATCCACATTGGTGCCAAAGGCTTTGCTCATCAGAAGGAAGATGTAAAATGCTAATCTCCTCAACAGCGAGGCCAGCCTCACTTGAATTCCTCTGCAACCCTCTGGGCTACCACAAAGTTCATAAATACTTTGACCTCCAAATCGTTAGATGTTAAAAACAGGAACAGTACAGTAACATGGGACATTATGCTTCTCAGTGTAAAGCATTCTTCACTAGTTCCTATCACAGTGCAGACCTGACTGCATTAAAATATGCTCAGGGGATTAGTCAATGTTGTCTGTATTTGGTTACAGGAAAGGCTCTCCTTTTTTTCATCCAAAGTGCATAGTGATAACAAGTCAAAGCATTCCTCTCTTCAGTAAGGGTTTGACAGTCTGATCTAGGCATCCTCCTGAGAATGCAATTCTGAAGTCTTGCTCTTTTCCAAAAAAGACAGTTCTGCAGTTCAGACATTCATCAGCCAGGTAAACAAACTTTGCCAGCAAATAGAAGTCCCACTATTGTAAAGAAAATGGATAAGACAAACAGTACATACGAAGACCCAACCACTGTGTTATTGGGTAATTTATATGGTTGACCTCCAACTTCACTGATGTAAAATCCTATTGGAAATATTAGGGCTGCCATACAGAATAGAATCACTGCAAAGAAAAGAGAAGAGAAAAAATGGTCACTGCTGTGTTAAAGTAAAAATATCTACCAGTTCATAGAGCAGTCCAGAAAAGCAAGCAAAGTATTCTGACCAAAGTGAAGAGCTGAGATATTCCAGTACCTAACTTGCTTGAAATGACTGAGCAGGCTTTATCTTCTTTTTAAAACATCCCTCATGTACTCCCAAGAAAAACTGAAAGACCCTCAATTTTGACTGTAATTTCAGTCCTGCTCACCAGATCATAAACTGTCTTTACTTAATAAAAATCTGGTAGATGTAGTTCCACAAGCTTAATCACAGAGCTCGTTAATTCTCCGGTTAGAGTAGTTTTTCTCTGGTCAAGATAAACTATCATTCAACACTGAAGAAACTCCTTTTCTATTAGAGTTGTCTTCTTCCAAGTGTAGTTACCCTCTCCCATTCTTCCACAAAAATTCCTTTTCTGAAAAAGTTTTGCTAAAAACAACACACACATTGATTGTCATTACAGATTCCTTTAGATTAAAATATGCCACTTTCCTAAAGATACACAATGTTTCCTTAAGTGATGAAATATCCTTAAGATTTTCCACTGGAATACAAAGGAAGTTTTCTGATTCAGTTTAATATAAGCTCCTTAGTTAAAACCATCAAATTTAGACTCCAGGACAAAGAGAACCGAGCAATGAGGCTTTTTCCTTCACCTGAACAGTTAAACTTACGCACACGGTTCATGCTTACAACTGACTCGGGACGTACAAACAAGAGACCAGAACTCCTAGTAAAGCCATGCATTACAACTACATTACGGATTTCCCGGGCCTTCGGGTATCAAGTGGCCAGCATCCCTCACAGCACATTTCAGTACTCTGATCAAATCCAGGAGAGGACATCCAGATTTGTAATCTTTCCCAGATGACAACTTGTGTTCCTGTACCTTTGGATAAGTAACCCTGTTTAGTTTGAACAGGGCCATATAGGCTCTACTGCCTCAGCCAAGGGAATGACTTCCAAATAGGCCTCTTCTGAGAGTCAAGACTTTCTTTACAATAAAAATGACTAGCTTTTGAATTGCTTTAATTGTATATGGAAGAATATACAATTAGGTTGTTTTATCAGCATTAGAATAACACAGAATTTTATCTGATTCTACCAGCTCAGTCAACTATTAATGCGTTACTCTTATTTTACTTCTATGCATTTCAGTTTCATTTCAAACATTATTTTTGTGAGTGGAACACGGCATCCCAATACCCATTCAAACAAATTTAAATTATATGTGGTGGGGAGAGATATCCTACCAGCCTTACAAAGCCAGATACCACCATCTCCTACTATGATGTACAGCTAACGCTGAAGCCTCTCCTAGTCCTCCAATCTACCTGCAAACTCAGCCATGTGAAAAAGAAAGTTCACGCCAAGGTACAACACTCCTGCCTGAATAAAGTGCATTACACGCTAATTTTTTCTGTCTTCTCTCAGTTCACAGACTGATGCTTTTGTTAGTAAGGGGCACAGGTGCTGTCCTTGTCTCCCCTTTGTCTTCTCCACAGCAAGAGGCGGAAGAATGTCTGGGAATGCTCTTCCCTACTTGAACCTCCCCGTAAGTCAAACAAGCAACCGTAAAAACCACTTGCAACAGTAACATCCATCACCTTGATCACTGGTTCCTGTGCAAGTCAGCAGTGCTGCAGCTGCTTTTGCTTCCAAAGGCACACAGAACAAGTTCGGCAGCTCGCCTGTCCCGTTAGGCCTTTCCAGATGAGGAAACGATGGGCGTGGACCGGCCTCAGTGTTTCTGACTGCAACTTCGCTACTGCTTTTCTGACTACATACACGCTCCAGTTTTTCCAGCCAGTGTCACATGCCCAAACTTTCTTTTCATAGCCTCCACATTTACCCAAGGCAAACAGTTTTATCACATATTTCATATTTTAAAGCTCAAAGCTTATGATTTGCACAGGAGAGGTCTCAGCTTTGAGGAAAACACACTCATTTCCATGGATGAGATGGGTGATGGGCATGAGGAATGTGAATTCAGGAAGTGTCCAAGCAGGACTGGGACATCAACCAAAAAACACGGTTTCATAAGCCACGCGCCGCCTCAGACCATGACCTGCTCCTCGATTTCCGAAATCCATGAAGCAGCTGCCAAAACACCTGGAGCCAGCAGCAGCTACCAGCAGGACCAGCCTGACTTTTGGCTGCCCGTGCTGGCAGAAAGAGGCAACCGTTCCGCGAGACGGAGCCGCTGTCCTGCTGGGAAGGGAGCGGCACGGCGGCCTGCTTCCCGCGGGGAGAGCGGCGCCGCCTTCTTGGGCCGTCTAAACCAGAACCAAGGAACTTGCAACCGCACCTTGGGCATTAAATAATCTGCATGATTATCCGTCCTTGTAACTCCACACTACACAATCTAACCCCTAAGGAATGTTTGAACCGCATCTTGACCAACAGCTGCCCATCTGAGGGGGGAAAAGCTTACGACTGTTTCTTGAGCAGATGGGAGCGCCCTGAGCCGTACACCCGAGTGATTCAAAGCCAGCAGCTGATGTGCCTGGTAAAGCAACAGACAATCGGTAACAGTTCAAACACCGCCCTGGGGATGTGCCACCTCACCGGAGCTCAGCACACTCCCTACTGCACCCAGTCTGTCCCCAGTGGGCGTTCCAGTTGTTTACACAGCTTCCGCTACATTTTAACAATAACACACTCAGAGGAAATAGCTTTAGGATTCTGAAAACAACCTGCACTTTCAAGATTAAAATCTGCTTTATTACATCCAAGAACTACACAGCTGGAAAAGTTCTGATGGCCTCGTGGATATGGCTGATGAGCAGGTATTTGTCTCTCTCCACTACCATGCTGGTCTGTCAGGTGTGTTGTACATACGTGCACCAGCGCTCCTACGGCCGGGACACGCTAGCAGCGCTGGCTGCCAAGTGGAGCGTGCGGCCCAGGGTCTCCTTGTGATCCTGCCAGACGACACAAGGGTGCAGGTACCTCACCGCTCCCGCAGCTCAGCAGGATGAAAACAGGCAGACAGCGTGCAGAATGCTGATGCACATACACATTTCAAACATTTGTTTACTATGGCAGTAACCAGCCATCTTTCCTCTTCTGCTGGGCATACACAGTGCACGTGTTCTGGTCTGAGGGTGTCCAAGCCATTTTCTTAGTGTGGTCTGAACTTTTAGTCTACTGAAATGGCAGATAAGAAACAGATTCATCAAAGTCTGTCAGATTAGGAAGCCTGGCAGAGGAATTATGGCAAAGTTTTGAGAAATGATTAAGAAAAGACTGCATGGCTTTTTTTTTTTTTAAACATGAACCAACTAAGAAGAAAAACCAATATATGAAATGCTCAATTAACTTTGTGTGTATCCTTTTAGAAGGAGATTTGTAAGCTGGAAGATAGGAATTTCTTACAAAAGTGAGCTGGTTTTGGCTGGGACAGAGTTAATTTTCTCCATAGTAGCTGGCAGGGGGCTGCGTTTTGGATTTGTGCTGGTACCAGTGTTGATAACACAGGGACGTTTTGGTTGCTGCTCAGCAGTGCTTACACAGAGTCAAGGCCTTTGCTGCTCCGCAGCCCACCCCAGCAGCGAGGAGGCTGGGGGGGCACAAGAAGCTGGGAGGGGACACAGCTGGGACAGCTGACCCCAAAGGGATATTCCACACCATCTGGCGTCATGCTCAGCTTATAGAGCTGGGGGAAGATGGAAGGGGGGGATGATCAGAGTGATGGCGTTTGTCTTCCCAAGTCACCGTTACGTGTGACAGAGCCCTGCTTTCCTGGGGATGGCTGAACACCTGCCTGCCCATGGGGAGTGGGGAATGAATTCTGTGTGTTAATTTGATTGTGTGCATGGCTTTTGCTTTACCTGTTAAACTGTCTTTATCTCAACCCAGGAGTTTTCTTACTTTTACTCTTCCATTGCTCTCCCCATTCTGCTATGGGGGAAGTGAGTGAGCGGCTGTGTGGTGCTTAGTTGCTGGCTGGGGTTAAATCACAACAACAAGCTGTAGCCTAGATGTAACTCTCTGTATCTGGTAGTATCAACTCTAACATATCTGATAGTGAATTTCCAGCAACCCATAAATATCTTCTCCCTGAAGAGTACTTGCTTTTGAATTCAACTTCTTCCTTGTGCAGGGAAATTTGCAGAAAAGCCACTTAATGACTACAATTTCTATTAACAAAAATATTTAGGTAACAAAACCATAATTTCTAGAGTCTGCTTTGGAATGGTGGCTGTCAAAAACACATCTAGTTCCTGCAATTCTTTAGCTTGAAATTGTTTTGGGCATCCAATGACAACTTAAAAAAAATCCAGGATACAGCATATTAAGAGAAGGAAAGACCTATGATCGTTCATTTAAGAGGCACACAAAGACCAAACAGTGCACAAACACCAAGAAGAAATCCACTCTCCATTACACTGTATGCATTTGGCACAACAGTTAATAGAACTCAAACATCAGTGATAGTTTGGTAGTATCTATGCCCAAAGTGACAATATCTATTGCATCAGTAGGAACACTGTGATTCTTGAAAGACTCTTCTCTACAGAAAATGAAGGAAAACTTTCAAATTTGCCTTTAGATGACTTCTGTCACTCATGCAGCATGACCTGGAAGAGGGAAGTATTTCTTCTTGCCGTAAAGCTGTTTCGCAGAGATGCCAGAGAAGACAAGTTTCTGTGCAGCAAAACCACCAATGGCTGGGGAAGGATGCAAACGCTGTGCTAGGAAACTCTGCTGGGTGTATCCCTTTAGAATGGTATACAGGAAAGAGAACTGACAGATTAAACTTCATGTTTGTACATAGCTGAAAAACCCTGGAGTTGTCAAGATGACAGTATGACAAGCAAAAATTCCATGAAAAAAATATAAGCGCGCACTCTTTATATAAATTCCATCAGGAACTGGGTAGGAGGGACCTCTTGCCAGGCTCTCCTTGTTGCTATCAGAGTTCCACAGAAAGAGCTGAGCACCAGGATTCCTTTGCCCTTTGTTGATTTGCTCCAGACACTGCTGCATTTGAAGAGAATGGAGCTGCCAGTCCTGGAGCTGACCTTGGCAGTCCCAGCAGTCTTCGCTGCCTGCCTAGGATAGCATGTCCTATGCTGTTTTCAGAAAGTTCCGTGAGAAGAATATCCACTAGAAGTCTGTATGAGGCTGTTGAGTCTTGAAATTGCTTCCAGAAGAGATGTAACACAACTGTGAACTTTTCCCTACTCCCTTCTAATGAGTTACACATTTTCACCTTACATACAGTACTAGCACTTCACAGGAAGGACCTGTTTGTGGTACTCCAAGTTGATTCCACATGGCTACATGTTTCCTAATAGTAATCTACAAATAGGTTACTAATTTGTGTTGCCACCCAATGAACCACAGAAGTGACTCTCATCAACGTTTTGAAAAATACAGAACTCCTTCTCCCATTCATTCCTTTTTTTCAAATGTTATTTTTCTTATAAGTGAGTTAGGCTATAAAATTTCCCACCATTGTTAATAGGAATGCAAAGGTCAGAGTCGTATGTATAGGAGACAAATACCAAAGATGAATTTCAGAATTTTAGCATTGCAGCTATCATATCTTAATAGACTTATGAATAATTCTGACTTGAAAAAGAACAAATTAGTATGTTTCATTATTAAACATCTCCTAACAAAAAGGCAAGGGCTGAAAAAAAGAACGTCCTTCTATATTTAGACTTCTAATAACAGAGCTGTTGCAACCCTAAAGTAACCTACAGAAAAACACACAGCTTTAGGGTATCAGATTTTTTGGCTGAACTAACCATCACAGTTGTAGAAAACAAAAGAAAGATGCAGGGTTGTGACAATTGGAAATACTTAAAAAAAACTCCCAAACCCCATTAAAAAAACCCCACAAAAACCACTGAGATATGTGAAGTCCAAAATACAAGCTCTGAATTAAGAAAAAAAAATCAGTAAATAAATTATGCTGCCAGCTATTACTATAAAGTACTCCAAAAAAACCTCTTTACTTTAGAGCTTTGACTTCAGCTTACTGTAGGCACCTTAATTCTATATGGCGTTTTGAGCATAAACCCTCCCTCATACATTAGATAAACATGAAATATGTACAGATAAACAAGGGCATAGAAAAGCTGGTATGGAATATTCAGTAATACTCATGCCTGCTATTTTAATCATTCACTGGAAAATAAATAAAAGTATTTTATACAGCATTTCAATAGCTCCGATGTCTGCAAGAGCTGCACTACTGTAGCAAAGTTGTACAATCAAAGCCATCTTCCTGACAAGTCCCTCAGCGAAGCACCTTTCTTAAAATCGAGCGCTTTTTTATATTATTCCCTTCCCCAAAACAAGTTAAATCTCATTCACATTAGATATCATTAGATGTCACAGAGTACCATTAAACCTTATTTATGCCTGTGCAAACCACAAACTTGCATTTTCTAGTTAGTGTTCACACTACCTTTAGTGGTATGTCATAATTCAAGTCAATTTAAAAGCCCTCAGGTTTTGAGTTTTTCATGCTGTCATCCCCACCATTAAGGCACCATTTCACAGTTGGGCTAAGCCTGTAACACACACCAAGAAAAGGAAGTTTGAAAGTTATTCCCCTTGCTCGTTATAACTATTTTTCTTTTGCACCAAAGCAGTCATAGGCTGTTTCCCTGTTTGGAAACACGGGGCTGCCAGAGAAGGCTGAGCTGTGAGAGTTACGCTGGTGCTCATACCTAGCAGAATAAGGGGAGGCAGAAAAATGCTGGTACTCCTCCCTCCAGCTAAGGCACTGCTGCGGGTCACTTAGGGAAGCAAAAGGCTCAGTGCTGTGAAACCCAGCAGATCCCCTGCAGTGGGCAATCCTCCTGCATAGCCAATTAGGATGCAGATACTCTGAATAAAATACCCGCTGTGAGCATGAAGCAGGACTGAACCAGCGTCAACCCTGAATGAGGTATTCATGAGACACCTGAACTGGGGATGGATTTCAGACTGTAGGTAAGTCTCACATGCATCAACTGCCTCCTCTTCCTTGGGGAAGGATTTTTCAGTCATTCCATCCGGCTAGGAATAAACCCTGGATATACAGGAGTGGGGAATTATGAAAAGACACTCACACACACAATTCAGGACTGACCTCTTTTATCCCTGCTCATTTTTTTAGGTCAATTAATGGCACTGCCCAAGGAAGGTAAAGGTGTCAGGCCTTCCTTTCTCTCACCTTGGGCCCACAGACTATTATTCCCTCTCAATTCTAGTCACTTAAGATACCAACCCCTTGATTTTTGAAGAATCCTATTTTTCCCTCAGATGTGGCATTTAAAGAGAAAGAATGTTTTGTATGGTAAGAGCCCTAAGCACTGCTCCTTGACAAGACTACAGTGTTATTTTAGACTCCATCAGTTTATCCTGCATACAGGTCAACTGTGTAGTTGAGGTCACTTACTTCCAGTGAAAGCTATCCAGCGGGCATATTTAGTTGCTTCTCTTCGCCAGTGGGAAGCCACCAGCAAACCACATGTGACAGTTAGTGAAATGATTCCCATAATGATGAAAAATAACGTAGTGACCCACTCAGGAGGCAGCCGTGGAGGAATACAGGTCCTGTCACGTCCATGGATGGTTTGACACTGTCGCACAAGGCCAACTGTGAAAGCACCTGAAAATACATAGCAGAGAGGCAAGTAAACTTTCCAAGTCCTCTCTGAGGGGTGCTCGATTGCAAACCAAAGCTCAGAATCGTCCAAAAATAAGGGATTCTTTCTTTGATGAACCTTAATAAGCCTTTCAAACATAGTGGAGAGGAGGGCATGCTTTAAACATCTATCTTCATGTTCTTTCATCATACGCTTGCACAAGTTGAAGCGAGATGGCTGCAAACTGTATCTGGTACTTGAGTGGCAATCAAGGCCTAATCAAAGGGATAAAGCACTCCTATAAAACCTGCCAATATCAGCTAAAGTGGTAGCTGACTTGTAGAGAGGATCACTCCCTCATCTATGCAAGACGAAATACTTTTATAATCGAGCTAGATGAGCTGCAGCCCCCTAAAATGCCTTCAATCATCTAATGCATTTTTCTCCTCATCTGTAAATACAGCTTTAATCCTCAAGTCTCGCAGTAGAAACTGCATTTGATTCATACCAAGATTTTAAGAACATTTTAAACCCCCTGCAATTCTTGACAATATCCCTTAAGAGTCCCTCTATGCAAGAGGTTGGTCAATCTTTTTGGCAGCTAACAGAGTTACTACATATACAAACTGGGATATCTACACAAAAGATCTGTCAAAAGGATCCTAGAAAAAGGACAAGACTGGTACAGGTACCATAAAGTTTTATACTAAATGAGGTATTTTCTCTTAAATTAAAAAAAAAAAAATCAAAAATCCAATTCAATGTTTTTGAGACTCAAAGAAGCTTTTAATAAGCTTTAATAGTAAAGTTCTCTTCATTTGGAAAACCTTTACCCCAAAATTAACACACAAGATTAAAATCCATTTCTTCCAGTGTCTCTTAAACATTAAATTCTATATTTCTCAATTTTGTCCTTTGTTCTGAACTGTTTTCCTAAATAATCACAATTGTCCTTTATCTAAATTAGGAGCAAAGAAACCAACAGGGTCAACATCTTCCTCCATGAATTACTGTAAGTAAATATTGTTACAGTTGACCTGTTTAAAATGAAAAGAGGGCCACTTAGAAACAATTACAGGAAGACTTGGAAGCTTAGGTTTAGCGCATCTTTTGGAGGAAGAAACAACTGTCATACTTTTTAGTTTCTTTTTGGAAATGAAAAGCATAGAAGAAAGAAGTCAGTCAACAGTTCAAAGGGTAACCAGCCCCAGCATGCACCTGCTAGCACCTCGGAGCCAATTTCTAAAAGTCTTCAGATCCTGTCTGCTTACACCTCAGCAATGAGTACCAGCAGAATCAGTTTCTGAGCTTAGAATCATTGAGCTAGGAGGCAAAATATAATGTTTTACTAAATGTAGCGTTTGTGAGGATGAAAAGAACCAAGAGCAAAACCATTACTGAATCAGTTCTGTTGAAGCATTCCTGTAACCTTCGTTTAGACTACAGATTTTTAGCCCTATTCAAATACATTAATTACATGTTCATCAACTGAAAGATTCAGAAATTAATTTTCTGCTAAAACTTGACATAAAATCCTTTAAAAAAGTGTCAATTACAAACCAAAAAAACCTGGCATTTTCTACTCCATTTATACAGCAATCACACTGTTGCTGTGCACCAGGATTACACAAGCAACGCAGCTCACATACCTTCACAGCACACAGTTTTACGTGAACTGCTCCTCAGTTGCTTTTTCATGACCTGCAATGTTTTCATTTTACATCAGCTGCTGGGGCAGAGGGGAGGGCACAGAATCACAGGATCATTTAGGTTGGAGATGTGCACGTGTCCTTAAAAGTCAAGCTCCCCAGAAGACATACACACATTGCAGAACCTCATACAAAACATTAAGTAGTTTCCTGCAGTTTGAGGATAAAGAGGCTATCCACTGCAGTAGCATAGAACAGGAAATTAATCCCAATCACTCTGAAAGACTAAGATTCAACAAAAATTTTATTATACTTAGAGTAGAAGTAATTTTTTTCTAAACTGCAATTCAAATCTAAAGAATGACCTCATAAAAATGACATCACACACTCAGTAGATGTTTTCTGAGTTCAGAGACCTCTCCTGAATCCAGTGGCAATAATGTAGTGCATTTTTAACTTTGGCAAAAGCAACAAATACAACCACTGTGCTAGACTCCATTCCATTTTGTGTGTTAACTGAAACTGAAGAACAGCTGGTACAGATGAGCACATATTAGAAAAACACAACTAAGCCATCTTTCAGATGCAATTTGTAGTTTATATTGAAGACATTTTTCAATTAACAAGAGTCCATTTAACATGTCAGATTCAGAGAGGACCAAAGCTAGTCCTAGCAGTGCCATACCTAGAGGAAACAGAACTCCATCTTGAACTACTATTTTTCAGTGCAATTTTTTGCTCTTAACATCTACTTCTCCAAAGGCTGATTTTTCTCTAAAAATAAAACACCAGCAAACCACAGTGGGGAGAAAACAAACCAAACCAAACCTGAATTGCCAGTAGCAGGGTAGCATCGCTTTTGAAGACACAAGGATAGTTGCAAGAAACTTCTCAGAGCAGGGTTTCCTAAACATCACTTCTGGTGCTCAAATGTGTTGTTCCACTCTTTTATTTTCTTAAATCAAAGTTTTAAATGTCAGCAATTAAATTTCAGGATCTGCCATTTTGGAGGAAAAACAATGAACTTTATGGTTGAACTTTTGCTAGCGCACACTTAGTATTTTCTCTTAACTCTGCTTCATGGATTATAAATTTGAAGTAGATATACTCCATATTCAAGGTTTTGAACCTTGAGTCTACAGGCTCTAGGAAGGCAAATGGAAGGCAAGAGAAGGTCTGTGAACTATTTCTAAAGGGTTCACAAGGGCAACTGGGAGAAACCACCTCATTATGTACTCAAAAATTAAATTTAAGTTCACAATACCTCCCTTGTATACCTAAACTGGGCAGAATGAAATTACACCTCATAGCTTGCTCCCATAGCGACAAATCTCCTGTTGAATGAAGACTTCAAAAGAAGTCTCTGTTTGGTAAAAATGGTGTTTATTTCCCACAAAATTCAAAAGAAGAGTGGGTTTACATGGTATTTTATTGTATTGGTCCCATTCTAAAGCAATTAAGTTGCCAGGCAGCTGCCAACAAACTAACTTGTTACACAAAATCTTGTTTAACCTTATCTAGTCTATCACTGAAAGGAGGGACAAAAATACTGAACAGCCTCTTTCTGCCTGTAGTTACAGAACAGCCCAACAGTCCGTCTCAAGCACAGTCACCAAGTTCCACTCTGATGCCTAGGTAAAAGGGGGTTTTAGTCACTCACTCAGAATTTCATCACAATTGCTGAAAATCTAAGCACCTAACACAGCTATAAAACTAACAGCACAGCTAAAGTTAATAGATTAGGCAACTTAAAGACGGATACAGCCCTAAAACGTGCAGTGGAGTAACCACGCCTGCACTGCACAGCCATCAGGAACTATAATGACAACCTGGAGATACCGGGGGCTGCTCCCTTTCTCTCACGTTTCTCCCTTCGTAGCGTTCAAGACTGGCATTACGCAGGTCAGCACAGCTAGCGCAAGAGGCGATTAAGATACATACTCAAATTACTAGAAGTGAGATTCAGCCTTCATCAAAACAGAGAATGCTACGCTGAGCAAATGTCAGTGGAGTGGTCCTTAGCCTTTTCCAGTAAGTCTATTCCCTAAAGTGCCAGTGCATTTCACACACATTAAACAACCTTCCAGTAGTGACAATCTGACCATAACCAGGACTCCAGTTCACACCAGTGAAAGATTTCACCTACACTACCTCACCCAACTCCTCCAGACCACCAGTAATGCTGATTTTCTGACAGTGCATATTTTTACTAGAATCAGTAATAAAAAGACTCTAACAATACACCAGCATTTGGGAGCATCACCAGTTTGACAAAGTTTCTCAAAACCGTCAAGGGAGAGAGGGGAAAAGGCACCAAACCAAAGCAAGGCAAGCCCTTGGCCTTCCCTTTGTGCAGATGTGCAGCTGCCACTGAGCCGACCCACAAGTCCCACTCCAGCCTGCTGGTGCTGTGCCATCCCTCGCCCATTTCCGTGGTAACTACAGAGCCACCCAGGAGGAATCACACACTACTGAGAGAAACAAAGATTGCTGCAGCCCTTTCACTCCCCCACCTCCCCATCACTTCTGAATTATTAAGTGGCACAGCAGTACCAGGACTGGAAAGCCGTAGCGTAGTAACGGCTATTCAGAGGTTTGTTGTTCCTCTGTTCTTTGATTGCCACAACACGCGGGATCAAGCATGCCAGATGGACACAGGAGAGGTGCCACTGCTTACTGTAGCCTAAGAAGCAACTAATATGAGAAAAGCACGATGCACTGAATGAGGTGGGACTCAAATGTTAGAAGGTCACAGAGCTCAGCATCCATGTTGTCACACCAACACACAAAACACAAATCCTCAGAAGTGCTGTTGCTCATACACCTTGGGCTACCTGTTCCTCCTCTGTCCTCCCCTACTGCCCCCACTTGAAAGTGTCTTTACTTTTTCCTCTCGTTTTACAAAAAATGCTACTCCTTAAATGCATCTGCAAACCTTGGACAACCACTTCCTCACTTTTACCTTCCGGATATCAACCACATCCTTCGCAAAATGCTTATTACTCACATTAAATAAATATTATGGGCCAGCACGCCTAGTGAGGAGGTTAGAACATCCAACCACTCCCAGACAGCCTGCCTGCCTTCCCTCGCTGGCCTGATGAGATGGTGTGGTTCTGCTAGAAACCCCAGTTGTGACTGCCAGACAACTTCTGCTCAAACAAGACACTTCTCTTTAGTGTACTGTGGCCTTGTTAAACCATCTCTGCTAAGTGAAGAGCACAGTTTACAGGGTTCCTAGTGAGGTGTTGGTGACGTAAACCTTAGAGCGCTGCCAGTGTGACGAGGGCACTGAATTCTATGTTTTAGTAATGAGCACAGTACATGGGCACACTAAAACATTCATGGCTGCTGGTTAGGTAACAGTCGCATGC